TTCCTATCAGTAAACACTATCAGTACTTCCTTGCGGAATCATACGAATAAGTATTTGAATTATAAAGCGTGACATTTTGATTATGATGACTTATCTGCACAGTTATGCTTACTTAGTAGACTAGTAGCACACTCTTCTACCATATCTACTTAGCTCTGTATAAGTGTCATTTCATTTACAATTCCTTCCAAGTATCAAAAAAGTTAAATAATCTATACAGAAGTGTAAATAATGTTTGTGATTTCTGTGAATTTAAATACACTGCAGCCAGTGAACATATTTGAATTAAAACCCGTGGATGACTCAAGTTGCATGTGTTCAACAATTCTACGGTTAACCCAATGAAATATAGGTAAACTGCTTGTTTATCGTTCCTATGGTGATTGGTAATCCACACTATCACTGAGTTGTCGCATTTTCAGATATCCTGTTGATAATGCTATTAAATTTGCTGAATTTTATTTCACTGAGGAATTAATCTAAGTTTTAAAACCAGTATCTACTCATCAGTAAGATGTTACCGAAACACCAATTAGATTCATTCACCTGCGTTTATAAACACCGAGTTACGGGATAATGACACTAAAGTATTTTGATAGTGAATAACTACAGTTACCTTTGATAATCATGGTGGGATATCATCTAATTATCAGTTATCTTGCCCTCTTAATCTTACTGACCTGTGAAAAGCTGATTCCATAAAAAAAAATTTTGTTTGTGTAGCTAAACTGTTGTTTACTACCTTACAGATAAATATGGCAAATTAATCCCTGATCAAATGGACACATAACCAGAGTACTTATGACTCTGAACTCACTCACTAAATATGCTTTAGTGATGACTATCCCAAACTGCAACTGAATGAAATCCAGATCAGGGAACTATTGGTCAAGTTAACCTCATACTTCCTAACAATCAAGTAAACAAGATTCTAATTTCTCACTTCATCGGTTTCTGTTCAGCTGCTTACAATCGATATTATCAAAAAAAGAATACATATTAATGGATATTTAACAGACTTTAATTCACAAGGATGACAATTTGGTCGCTGATTAGGAAAGATGATAATAGACATAGTATGGAGAGAAATCGAAATAATATGAAATGAAACAAACGTAGACTATTGGATAGTGGCCCAGTGGTTCAAGGGTAAACGTGCTGGTCATGAGACGTGGAGGTCCTGGTTTCGGTCCCCAGCAGGATCACATGGGCGTGCACTGTTGAAAAGTTGCATACTAAGACAAAACAGCTGTTCTCAGATTTTCAATGTTTCCCTAACCGATGTCATTCCATGATGAATGCCAACCTGAAGTCAATAAATAAATCCCTACAAGTCTCAAATGGAAATCCGAAGAAGGTTAAGAAAGTATGCAAAGTGTTATGATAGATATACTCTACAAGTGAAACTTCTTGACAAAGGAACA